GGGCTGGGAGCCAGGACTCCTGGGTTCTCTAGAGTTTCCAACCCTCCAGGATGTCTCCTGGAATTAAACTTAAGCTTTAACAAAAGATTATGGCACGTGATGAAATCTCCAGGAATACGTTGAACCAAAATTGACAACCCTCGTTCTACACCACTTTGTGGGGTCGAGCAGGTCAGAGCAGGGGGCTGAGAATCAGAACTGACTGGCAGAGGGTGTTGTCACCTGGTTAGAGATGGAAGCATTTTGGTAAAAAAGTCCCATATTTTGTAACACAAGAGTCTTTTCCCATAAGGATTTGGATTGTAGGTAAACAGCTGTTCATGCAGCCCCGTCCTTACTGGAATCTCCCCTCCCCTGCCAATCACTGACTCCACTGACCAGGAGGGCTCTGAGCTAGTGAATAAATACAGGTCCCTGTAGCTCCCAGCTCCACTGAGCTGTGCAGAGAAGACCCAACCCCAAGAGAAGATGAGAGTCCAGATGCTGGCTGTCCTGCTCCTGTTTGTTCGGGAAAGGGTTCATTTTACGGAGTGCAGGGAGACATCTCCAGACCTCTGGGGATTATGTGCTGGAACATCCACCCTGAAAGAAAAATTGCCACTTGTTCTCCCAGTCACAGCTTGGGAACTGTCGCTCTGGAGCTCAGGTTGCAGACCCTTTTCCTTACTGCTCCACTGGATTTGTGAGTTGCTCAATTATTTATTTTTTCTCGGTGCTTCTCAACCGAGGAAGAGGGAAGGATATTGGAGAGTGCAACCTATTCCCCCCGCCTCACGTACACAGAGTTCAGAATTCCCTAACAGAAATTACAGCACTTGGGCCTGGTCTAAACGTAAGGCCATTTACCTCAACCTAATTATGTCAGTGTCCACACTGCAGCCCTGTCCCACTGATGAAAGTGCCCTACTACACCGACATCGTAACTCCACGAGATGTGCAGCTCTTATGTTGGTATAGTTAGGGTGATGCAGTGTCTGTGCAAACACCTGTGTTACTTACATCGGCTGTTTGCTGTCTTGAGCCCGGCTACCCCCGGGTCCCCACTACCAGCCAGGCTGCTGCCCGGAGGCTCCCTGCTCCCCGTTCAGGGAGTCAAGAACCCTTTGCAGCTGGCCCCCACTCCCACTGGGGAGCCGGGGGTAGCGGGTGGGGGTGGCAGGGTGGGAGGAAGGCAGCTGAGCTCCTGGAGAGGAGCTGCAGGGAACTGAGAGCTTTGGCTCTCAGCCTCCCACACTGACCCTCTTTAGTCTGGGGAAGTGCTCCTGGTGAGGACACGCATCACCGACAGAAGCAGTGTAGTGTGGACATCAGCCACCACGGTAATTACTAACATAGGGCTGAAGTGTAGACATGCCCTTAGAATGAAGCAAATCCCGCACCAGTCTGGAAGTCAAATTAATTTACTGAGAAACATTTAAAAAAGAAACAATCCCAAAGCTTTCTGTGCAGTTGAATTTATTTTTATTTTTGCAAAGCTCTTGGCATTCCCCAGGCAACAGAGGGGCAGAGCTCTTTGCCCCTGTTCCATCGAAAGACACCACAATCAATGAACAGCACAGTAATCAGTTAGAGTCGCAATCAGTCCGATTGATGATTCTCATGTGGCATTTGATTGGTCAGGAGAGGTGAGAGGCAGCAGCACGGGAAGCGTAAAGGCAGGAATCGTCGCCATGTTCAGCAAAACTGGTTTCATCAGCGTGTCTCTTATTAATTCATCATTCCAGGACCTGCATGGCCAGGGATAGATGGCAAACAGCAATTACGGTCCCAGTAACCCACTGGGAATTAGACAAGTACCATCCCCCATACCCTGAAGGAATTCCATCCCTTTCTATCCACAGCCAGCTCGGTGCATTTTACATCAGTGCCCTTTGCAAACTGTGTTATTGATAGACTGGGAAAGGGAGTCAGAGAGGAGTCAGAGCCCTGCCGATCAGCTCCTCACTCTGCCCCCAGCAGTGTGCAGCGGTGTGCAGG